GCCGGCATGAGCAATCCGACATGCCACCAGCAGGCCAACAAATTTGCTTTCATTTCTATATGAAATACACAAGCTGCTTGTTTGTACATTTACTTTGGCCAATGCACGGGGCCTCCGAAGACTTGCGGTGTGCCGCGATGAAGCTCGCGGCTGTGGGGCGGATTGCTGAGGCCGCTGGCGCTTCGGGGATAAACATCACAGACAGCACCGAGCTTCACTCAGCTTGCGTTACCAATTTGCCCGCACGGGCATTCCGACTTGCGGTCTGCCGCACTGTCCATGCGGCATGCACCCGGGATGGATGCGATTCGCGTGGAGCCCGCAGGCGGTGCTGACGATTCCGCCGGTGCAAGCTTAGCTCCCACACCATCAGTACTGCTGCAACAAAGCACATCTCCCACCGCAGTGACACTACCCATCAATTGTCACACGTGCCGTGCTAGCTACCGGCCTGTACGGATGCAGGGGGGGCCCGCCCTTTTTCCGGCTTCGAGGAAGCCGACACCCGACTTGTCACCGTACTGGTGCCGTACGGGTGTTGTACGACATCACGTGCAGGAGTGGCGGCTGTACATCATTCAGGAGTATGCTGACGGCGGGCCGCTGAGGAAGTTGTACGGCAATAAGGCCCTGTGGCCGTCGCCTGGCGTGGTCAACTTGGTGAGAGAGAGAGAGAGAGTATTTGTGGGTTCCGTCGCCATCTGTCTGTCTGTCTGTCTGTCCATCATCAGTTGACGTGAGGGGTATTGCCAAAAAGAGAGCTTGACAACAGGAAGTCATGAATCTCATCTCATCTCTCTTTCCCAACCCCCTCCTTAAGGTTTTAGGGTTTTGTAAAGATAGATTTTAAAACCCTAAATCCCCCTCCCTAGGACTCCCTTGGCAGTTTTGCACTTTGAACGCCGGCCCCTTTGGGGAAGAAGACGAAGGGGTTACCGAAGTTCTCATTCCTTGTTCCATTCCTTGTTTTTGATCCCCCTCCCCCTCGACCCCCAAACCCCCCAAACCTCCTTCCCCCTCCCCACACACACACAGTGTACAGTGAACAGTTCACAAGATAAGTGTTCGCGACTCAACGATACCGTTCACACACCCCGCTCCTATCCCTGCTCTACACCTCCAATCTGCCCTCGTTTTCCTCGTAGTCGCCCCAGTCTCTAAAATTCATTTCCACATCCCATGTTGTGCCTCCTGTGCCTCATGCACATCCCCTACTGCTGCTCGTACTGCTGCTGCTGCTGCTGCTACTGTTGCTCTTACTGCTGCTGCCATTGATTTTGCTACTGCTGCTGCTACTACTGTTGCTGTTACTGCTGTGCTGATGCTTTTCCTTCCCTAGCCTGCGGTGGTTGGTCTAGCACTGGGCATCGCGAGGGCCTTATCTCACCTTCACTCCAAAAGAATCATCCACGGAGGTGAGTGAGGTGGGACGTATAGCGTGTATGTGTGTAGCATTCCACTGGATGCTACTGGTCGTGCTGGTGGTGGTGGTGTGGGGGGGGGCCCGCCGCGGATCCGAAAAAGTCACCACCGATGGTCGGCAAAAGTCGGCATGGGTGGTGAGGAGGATCCGGGAAGGTGCTGGGGACCGTAGTACGCCGCCGCACACTGAATAACATTGGCGGCCCTCCTCCCGCGCAGGAATGGGTTGCAGGAAGAGCAAAAGGAAAACGCCAAGCAGTACGCACGTCACGAGACAAATTCGAACAAATTCAAACAAAATTCGAGAACATAATTGAATGAATTCGTACGAATAACACGGAGGACACGTTTCACGTTTTTCACGTTTTTGTGTTACAAGCTTCAAGCTTGTACGGTCCAAACGAGCCAAGAGGCTCATGAACCGCCGAACTGGAAACAAGAACATATAAAGGTAGTAAATTAACCTTACTGTAAAAACATATTTAATCATCAATAAATTGTAACCTGCATCTTCTGATATGATCCAAAACATGTGCTAGTCCGCGTTGGTTCTCAACGCCCATAACGTCTATCATGCGGTCCTCAGGAGACATTCCAAGCTCAAATAGCTTGGTGCGAATATTCGCGTACACAGGGCACTCAAGCAAAACATGACGCTCGTCCTCAACTGCTTGACGGTTCCCACATACGTACACACCACCGGGGATCCTCAGAGTCGACCG